AAGAAACAAAAAACAAAAAGAAAATACCAAACAGAAAATGTTCCGCTTTTCCAGTGTCCTATTTTAAGCATTCAAAAATATAAACAACATGGGACCTCCTGTTGCCGAGTTGGTTAGTGCGGGTGTGCTAATTCCTGGAGGACCTAGGTTCGAATCCTGCAGGACGCACAATTTTTTGCGGTTTCATAAAAAAAGAAGGCTGAATGGGCCAGCCCGCGGCAGGGTGTGCACGTCCGTTCTTGTACAGTGTATATGTGTTTGTCAAATAAATTATGACTATTCATGCCCTTATTTATGAAGATATTTATGAAGAGGTATCGGTTAATCTGAGTCGTCTTTGTATTTAGGGGGGTGTACCGAAGCAGAAGTGAAAAATCAAAGTTTGCTATGAACTAATGTAGGATATATTCTCCCTCATGAGCTTTTGTAACGATCTACGGCCAGGCTGAATGGGCCAGCCCGCGGCAGGGTGTGCACGTCCGTTCTTGTACAGTGTATATGTGTTTGTCAAATAAATTATGACTATTCATGCCCTTATTTATGAAGATATTTATGAAGAGGTATCGGTTAATCTGAGTCGTCTTTGTATTTAGGGGGGTGCATCGAAGCAGAAGTGAAAAATCAAAGTTTGCTATGAACTAATGTAGGATATATTCTCCCTCATGAGCTTTTGTAACGATCTACGGCCAGCCCGCGGCAGGGTGTGCACGTCTGTTCTTGTACAGTGTATATGTGTTTGTCAAATAAATTATGACTATCATGCCCTTATTTATGAAGAGGTATCGGTTAATCTGAGTCGTCTTTGTATTTAGGGGGGTGTACCGAAGTAGAAGTGAAAAATCAAAGTTTGCTATGAACTAATGTAGGATATATTCTCCCTCATGAGCTTTTGTAACGATCTACAAAAGGTTGCGTTGCGTTGGCATTCTAACAAAAACCATGGCTGCAGTACGTACCAAACTCTAGTAGTGCTCCATGGAATTTGTTAGAATAAATTTAAGGACTCCGTCGATCATTCGAGGACCAAGCAATCACATGAGATACAATACCGAGATTTGTTAACGAGGTTCACCGATATGACTACATCCCGGGGCCTGACTATGAGCGTCCTCCCCATGACACCGCTACAATACCACATCTGGTCGCCCTGGACGCCGGCACATGCCACCGGCTTTCCCTGTGTTCGTGTGCTATTATGCTATCATATCTAAACACAATACAAGTCAGAATTCAACTGTAACGTACATTATATACAATATTCGACACAACTCTAACAAAATTCACAATCTGTCTGCCCTGCACCAACATTCGGGGGGCATGTAGTGCAGACAGCATGGGATCAAATTCAAACCAACCCAGCGGCAGCTGGAGAAATGCACAAGTCGCCAAGCCCCATTTCACCAACAAAATCACTGACTTGAGCAAATAAATAAATGGTGATTGATTCATCGTCACCTCGTTTTCACGAAATAGGGTTTCCCCCCGCTTTAGATTATAAAGCAAACACCACAACATCATCAGGCAACAACGGCCAACAGAAAGGTCCAGCCAAGAAAAACAAAAATAAGTACCACAGTGGCATCACAAACTAGAGTGCAACACAGTACGGAGCGCTGGGGGCACAGCCAAAACAACCCCAAAATATGGATCAAAGTCTAACTAACTAATCCAGCTCAGACGCAGACGCTCAATGTCGGTTCACCTCGTTTTTGCTACTCGTCGCCGTGCACAACCTCATACCCGGACGGCTTGGAAGTGCCAATGAAATGTTAGACTCGCAAGTGCCGAGCAGAACAGGAGGATCAGTGGCGGAGACAGAAAAATCGGACAAGGAGAACCGAGTATTGTTAAACCTTGTTGGGGCGGGCCAATCGATAAAAAAACACCATTTTAGCAACAACAATCACTGTAACTATCATACTAGGCATAAATCAGTGATGTTAGGGTGGGGGACGGGGGCAGAGTATAGCTGGCCAAATGGGCCGGGCTAACCAGGCCGGCCCGTGAGCACGCCGGCACGACACGGGCTAAACGGGCCGGGCCCGGCACGCGGCACGCCCTGGGCCGTGCTTGGGCTGCTAGCCCGAGCACACGGGCTGGCACGGCACGACCCGATTACGGTTTTTTATACATATCTATATGGCCGAACAGGTAAAAATAGGCAAAAAATGCCCAGTGTGTCAAATAGCAGACGAACTAGCGGGCCTGACATGCCGGTGGGCCGGTCCGATTAGTAGCTGGGCCGTGCCTGGGCTGCGACGTCCCGCCCGTGGGTCGTGCCGTCGCGGGTCGTGTCGTGCCAGGCATGTTTACCGCGAGCCGGGCCATGCCGGCCCGTTTGGCCAGGTATGGGGCAGAGCCCTGGCCGGCCCCTGTCTCCGCCGCTAGGAGGCATATAAAACTATAATATTTGGAGCAATTTTTCGAATTGTTGAGTCTTTGTTTGATCTCTAAGTAAGAATAACCTTGAGAGTCTCTGTAGTACCAGAAGAAAATCTACGAAATTGTGAGGGCTTAGAGATATTTATACAAAAATTGGTGAAGGAGTGGATTTTGGATAACTAGGCTTTGGATCTGTTCTTGAAATTCAAACAAAAATATTTGCTTGTGCCCCTCTTCATAGTACAATTGTTCTATACTGAATTCACTAAAGAGTTATAAAGTAGATACTAGGACGTCATTTTTAAACAGCACAGACGCAGACGCTCATATACATAATTAAACATGCACACTCATCTCTATGAACGCACGCACGCACACCCTCTCTCTATGGGCATCTTTGAGAGACTGGGGAAGCACATTGTCTTAAGATTGATGAAGTCGTCATAGACGTATTCGTAGTCAACAGGAAAGTGTCCTCCCACTGAACGCACATCGTCGGGAGGCCTGAAATAAATCCAGAAAATGCTAAGTACAGAACTTAAGCCATGATCAGCCGGGAATATCACTGTGCTCCTAACCATCCAACCACAGATTGGTTCACAAGTACTCCCTCCGTTCCAAAATAGATGACCCAACTTTATACTAACTTTAGTATAAAGTTGGGTCATCTATTTTGAAACGGAGGAAGTACATACTATGACCTTGATGAAGACAACTAGAAAAGTTGTTTATTTGTAGGGGTCACCAATCATATCCCACTAGTGACCAAACCTGATACACAATGAGATCACATCTTATATTTGAAAAAGTTCTATAAAACAACTACCGATCGGTAAAGACAATAGCAAGTCACGGAGCCGTCAGATGTAAACGGACATGCCACGTGGCATCTCTTTGCCGTGTAGTGCTCTTGGCGTCTGTGCCGTTTACCGGATGTGCCTTCTTCGCCGTGTCCTCTGAGGGAGTCCTGGACTAAAGGGTCCTCTAGCATCCGGTCTATTCGATATGGGTCGGACTGATGGACCGTCAAGATACAAGGAAGAGGCCACCTCTCGTGTCCGGTTAGAGCTCCCGTATGCGTGGATGGGAAGTTGAGGTGTTCGGATATACTATTTCCTTTCTGTTGAACCGACATTGTACAACCCTAGGCCCCTCTGGTATCTATATAAACCGAAGGGTTTAGACCGAAGGCAGGATCAGAATATTGATAGGCTAGCCAAGTTAGGGTTTAGCCATTACGATCTCGAGGTAGATCAACTCTTGTAACCCTATATCCATCGAATATAATCAAGCAGGAGCAGGGTTTTACCTCCATTAAGAGGGCTCGAACCTGGGTAAACACCGTGTCCCTTTGATTATTGTTAGCATCGATCGCAGACATACAGCTTGGGCCCCCTATCCGAGATCTGCCGGTTTTGACACCGACATCTTCCTCTCAGCAACATCACCTCGTTGTCATGAACCTGTGTTTGCCTAGTACTACTCTCAGCGTATATGTGTTTGCCGAGTGCCCGTGGTTTTGTTCTTGGCAAAGAGCCAGCCACTCGGCGTATAAAAAAATTCCAGTAGTGCGAGTGGAGCCCTCTCAATGATGTTTTGTCATAAATAGTCAAAACAAACTAGGGTTATATGGAATGCACTTTCAGTCATGGATATCTCAACTGACTCTGGATATCGTATTGTATGGAGAGGCTTGTTGTGATTGATATTAGCTTAATGTTAATATATAACTTCTCCGTAAAGAAATATTAGAACGTTTAAATTATTAAAATAGTGATCTAAACATTCTTATATTTTTTCATAGAGGAAGTACCTTATACCAAAAACTGAAGAACACTAGTTTCGGTTCACGAATGACCCCCTCTTCCTCTAGAACAAGATTCCACGAGCTAAAAAAATCGTACTAGTACTCTCCTGTCTGAAAATATAAACATTCATTTTTAGTCATTTTTACGACAAGTATTTCCGGACGGAAGGAATACATTTGTACAGACAAATTAAAGGATCATAGACGCGCCGGCACGGCACGGCACCCAGGTGTCAATACGCGTCGATTCTCTGGCCGGGGATAGATTCCGTCAACACTCCATGCAGTCATGCACGCATCTTGTTTCCTCTCCGTCTCATCCGAATATTCATTTAAGCAAGCGGAGGGAACCCCGGTAGAAGTTGACTGTATTTTAGCTGCAAAACGAACACTAGCTAGATCCTAACGAGGAAGAATAAACAACTGAACCTGTCACAAACCAGCGAATCTACCCCGAAACTTCCTGGCCGACCGGCAGTATCATCAATTCATCATCACCAACCCTGGAGGCAATATATATGCCTTCGACGAGTGGAGTCCTACACAAGAGGGTGCAGACTTAATGCATCTCAGCGCTATGGAGAAAACGCGTGGAGCCATCCTCCTCCTGCTACTCGTCGCCGATTTCGGCTTCGGCGCGGCCCAAAACGCCACCACCGGCGAAGCACATGGATTCCACGTCGGGGTGATCCTCGACCTGGGATCGCCGGTGGGCAAAGGGGCGCGGACCAGCGTTCTGCTGGCCGTCCAGGATTTCTACGCCGCCCACCAGAACTACAGCACAAAGCTCGTTCTCCACATCAGGGACTCCATGGGCAGTAATGTCCGGGCTGCATCAGCAGGTACGTATGTCTGCAGAGTGCCGCACTGTCAGGATTCAGGAAAAACAATGGCGGCGGTGTCTGCAGAGTGCCATCCTAAACTTTCACCTCGTCTCCACATCATAGGTGCACATAGGTAGTCAACAAAATGTCCAAAGCATGCAAACTCGAACAAACACGGTAAGAGTTTTAGAGCAGCCAATCTGACCCCTCAAATGCCCACCGGTCACGCCTTATATTTGATGTTATAGGTCTCTCGTATTTTATGATTTTATCCTTTAGATACATACAAACCATGCAAAATAAATCTACGTAATACGATGTGGATGGGCGCATAGGAGAGCTCCTCCTCCTCCTCCTCCTCATCATCATCCATATATGCGAGCATCTCGTCGACTTTCACGGTGTGCTCCGCCTCCTCCTTCTGCTGACGATGTCGTCTGGCCACCGCCTCTGACTCCGGCCGGAGGGAATCGAGGATCGTCTGCTGCTTCCTCTGCAGATCCGCATGCCAGCGTCCCCCACATCTTCCTCCGGCTCCTCCTCATCCATATACGCGAGCATCTCGTCGACTTCCGCGACGTGCTCCGCCTCCACCTCCTGCCGACGACGACATCTGGCCTCCGCCTCCGACTCCGGCCGGAGGGAATCGAGGATCGCCTGCTGCTCCTTCTGCAGATCCGCATCCCCAGCATCCCCCACATCTTCCTCCGGCTACTCCTCATCCATATAGAG